AAACATAAAAATGAAATAAATAAAAACTAGAAGCAAATTATGTTAGAGCAATTTTTTGCGATTTTTCACCTATGCTCACTATTCTAAGTTTTTCTCCGTGAAGAAGCGTTCAAATCGAAACAAAAGGGCGATATTCGTGCTCAGCGCAGAAAACTGAATCAGAATATGTGCCTTTGATTCAAAAATAAAACCCTGTGGAAACTTAGAGTTAGCAGCGGCTTACCTCCAAAGTTATGTATTCCTGGTCTTTTAGCTAAAAGTCACTTACGTTAAATACTTTTACTTTAGTTTCTGTTCTTGTTTTTATCTGTCATCATATATGAAAGTTTCAACATCAAGGAGCTGATGTTGGAAGAATAAGAATGCTAGAAGAAAGAAAGATATAAAAATATTTATGTGGGTTTTTGCCGGGCTGGGTTTTTTTCATATTATATATTTGTTGACGATGTATTGAAACTCAATACTAGCTTCTTTAGTCAGATGATTAAAATTTGACCAACTGGTGGTGTATTACCAATTTATTGTAAAATATTTGAATCAATTTTTCTATTATCTTATGCTTGTCTTAGGTGCAAAAAATTTGTTGACAAGACATAATTGTAATTTTTTTCTACCTTAATCGAATATTATGAGGACATTTAGTAAAACTATTTGCAAATCACTGAGTCATGCTGTGATGCTAGTTTACAGAGAATTTGGCTAGACAAACAGCTAACAGTGACAATTCCTAGCTGGGCCAAAGTATAAACTTCTCACAGGTAGAATGTGCTCTAAACTATTCACATCTAGGTGATATCTAGCGCAATATTGCAGGCTTCCACAGAGGGTTTTAATTAGACGTACGGTGGGGAACAAAACCGATCTACAAGTAGGCTGAACTTGTTTGTTTGGATTATATCTTACAGACTAGACTAACGAGAGTTCTGCTTTTTTACCATATTGTAGCTGACAGTCTTTGTATACGTCTAGGCTACGATATTGTTAAAACAGTTAAAGTCTAGTTCATTTAGTTTGTGATGCAGAAGCAATTAACAGTGCTTAACGGTTGTAAAACCGTTATAAGAATCGTCGAAGTAGAACTGTGACAGCAAAGCCGCCCACTTTCAAAAAGAAGAAGAAAAGAACAGCTCCTCCAAGAATCTAATATGGGATGCCTGGCAAGTAGAAATTATAAGACCGAGACAAACCACTGAACTGAGGAAGTTGCAGTTCAGAAAAAAACTCAACACCTGACAAAAAACTATGCTGTTGAATTTGAAAACTCCTTTCTAGCGTAGATACATGTGAGTTATAAAAGCGAAATACTAACTGATTTTTTTGTACTTTTTTTCTTTTTTAACTTTTGATCTTTATGTACTTTTTCTATTAGCTTATCAGTTGTTGTTTGCCTTTATTGCTCTTTTTATTGTCACTTCCTTCCCTTTCTCCACGTAGCATACTTGTATTGTTTACCTAATTGATATTGCAATAGTACTGAAGTGAGTACGTTGTGCTCTTTGTACTCTTTGCCATTTGCTATATTTTTTAAATAAATTGGTTTAAATCAAATACTAACTGTATAGGTGTTCACAGATACCATACGATACTTTCGAGTGTATCCTGAGGCGAACGTCTGGAAATGTGTGATCAGCATTTTAGGGGAAGTTATTCGCTATACCACCCTCTTCACCCTACGAGACTATCGCCATCAGAACGATTTTAGGATAGTCGCAGCCAACAGGAAAGAATTTGTAAAACGAAAATGTGCGCCGAACAGCCATATTTTGCAGAAACGAATCAGTATCAATCGTCTTCACATGTCAGAGCGTGTTGATTGACTATTCCCAATTATGATGGACATTTTCTGATTGAATTCATCGGCTATTTATAGTTTCAGAGCAAAAATAACGTATACAACTAGATTTTTCGGCAAAACTCTAGCCTAATAATGAAAGAAGGAGAAGAAGAAGAAAGAAACGGCAAATATCACTATCAGTAGACGAGGATAGATTAGGTAGCAATATGTTTTTAGAAATATTTTAAGATGCTATCGAAAAGCGAGTTTTCAGACTGTTTTCACCTAATATTAAAAAAATTCACTATTCACTCAAAACATCATAACGAGTTCAAAACTTCAGAATGTAGAGTATTTAGGCTATTGTATATCCTATTTACAGGAAATATCAAAAGAAATTTTACAAAACCCTAGGGCTTCTTGGAAAGTGTTTTAACAAAAATATGCTTTTTCAATTTTTTTCGATCTTATGATCACGTTTAGCGGACAACATTAATCATATCCTGAGACTTTGAACTCGTTCTGATGTTTTTTGAATGAATAATGAATTTTTTAATATTAGCTGAGAGATGTCTCATTTTAATCAGAAATTTGCGGGCTACAATCGTGCTTCGTTAAAAAGGAGGTTTTAGTTATTCTTTAGAGTTTCTGAAAAACTGGTTTTTCAGCAAACCAGGTCTGCAGAAGTCATGAGCCTGCACCTTTTAGGGTATTTACTACCTCACTGAGGTCTATCGATCCATATACAAATCGCTGGAATCGGAAGAGGACATCTCGAAAGGTTCCCTCGTAACTGTCACTTCAAGTGAGAGACACTTCGAAATGTGTGCAGCAAAATTTGAGGTTATTTCCCTCTCGGTAAAAATACTTTGTTAAGTGTTTTACTTACCAGGCGAAAAAATGGCAAACAGAATTTTACGTTCGCTGTGTAGATCGAGATTTTCGAACTTTTGATATCCGCTGTTTTACAAGAACTTGCCTGACTGTAACAGCGTTGACCCACAAGAAAGAGTGTCAGAAGCTGTACAAGTGGTGCAATTTTCCAGCCTCTAAAACATACCTAAGTAGGACAAAATTACAATATACCGCGAAATGTAGAGCGAGATATCTTGTAGATCGAGAATACTCTAAAAGTTTTTTCGGTTCTTTTAGTCAAAAACCAAGTTATAACACCAATTTTGACTCCTTATATTCTGCTGAACCTATCTATCCATAAATTTACGTAGTTCTGATGTCGAGTTTCTCCAAAGTGGCTGGTCACGTGTAGGCTACAAGCTTTTCGTTTTATTTTTGAATAAAGCGAAAAAGTGAGAAAACTTAAAATTGTAGCACAAAACTAACTGTGAAAATGATTTTGTTTTTCATTAGGGTTTGAATTTTTTAGGAACAGTGTAAATTGTTCCGTTTAATCTGTTTGAAATAAAAAAAAAAGAAGATAATAAGACGAGAATTTCCAAAAATTGAAAGAATTATCTTAGTTTTTAGCCACTGAAAAAGACATAGAGTGAGCGTAACAGCCTAAGATATCATGGAAAAGTAGTGCAATGTTGCAAGAAGGTAATTACATGCAAAGAAAACACGTTCTCACTAGCACTTTATCGTCAAACACTGTGAAAGGATAGTTTTTCAGACGAAAATTAGGATTTTAATGATCTAACGTTTGTTCAGGTTAGACTAAGTTAAATATGATATGGATCGATAGATCTCTTCGAGACCTAGCGAATGGTGTACGATATATTCGCTTTTAAAGCAACCTCGAGATCATTATGGCCTAAAATCTAGAGAACGGAACCTGCCGAAGTTTGTTGAGGTTTATCTCAGCCGCCACACATGTGCTGGTCGAGAAATTTGGTTTCTAGACTCAAAAAACAACCAAGAACAAGATGTACTAATGAAATTTTGTTTAAAGTCACTTTCATTCTTCTTCACCAATTGTACAATAAAGTTGCAAATGACTCATACACATAATTCTTGCGTTCTGTACGAAACAAAAAATGATATTATCAAAGAACAAAAAAAAACGTAAATTGCACAATCGACGTGAAAGACGAAGTAAAAGTGATAACGCTTTATTTGCTGCCTTTTCCCGTTGACTCACATTGTTTAGAATTTTTTGTTAAAAGAACTTTGGACATCACTATCATCATCACTCCAAAATATTTCACAAGAAAATATTCACAGGATTTTGTTGCAAGTATACTGTTCTGTTATTGTTGTTGTTTTTTAAACTCAGAGCACAGTATTTAAAACGAGCGAACTACATTTAGCATAGCATGGAAAAGACATTCGCCGAGATTTTGATTTTCTAAAAAATGAATTCGTATTCGCTAGAAATTCATTTCGGTACGTAATGCAAGATAATAATGCGTATTGATGTATTTGATCTGTTTGCGAATTCGCTACTACTTTCTGACTAGTTCAGGTCACTACACAGCTTTTTTGTGATTTTTATTTCTATGTACTCAAACAGTCAGATACTAATAGTCTCTCAATTTTTTATTTCTGTATTTCTGATGTGTTTTCTATGCCAACTATTTCTGAAGAGTTTATTCAATGAATTCATACCTTTCTAAACATATATTTGGAGGTGTATCGGGAGAGGTGGAAAGATGCCATGAGAGGAAGTCACGATCGTTACCTGACCAATATCGTGACCTGAACTAGTGCGAAAATAAGAGAGAATTTGCAGGCAATCGTTATCTGACCTGATGAGAGAAAGATACACATTTTAAGTCTATAGCCAGCATGGAGACATGTTGCATACCGAAACAGTAAAAAACGAATACGATAAGAATCCATCATTTTCTTCTCAATACAAACATATACATACATAAATAGTGTTACAAATAATTCAGTCCGCTGTGCATGCCAATTTTCCATCATTTCAGATTTAGAGCCGTCCTTAAAAGGTTTTTCAAGACGCTATCTTGGTTCACAGAGCCTTACACGACGATCACGTCTAGTTAATATAAGTGTTTGTAACATAACTAAACATCAGCAGTTCCACTTTTTCGTCCGTTTATTTCGTCTTAATTAGATGTGATTATTCGAATTCGATGGCTATAACGGATTATATGTATCCATTTTATTATTTCTAGAAAACTTATCATTGTATAGAATCCTCTTCCGTTGATCAATGTCTGCTACTGAAACAACAGAAACTGCTCATATCAGTAAAAATAAGTTCTTTCTGGACTATGCTAAACAAGCTTCAGTCGGAATCTTGATGGGTGCTGTGCGGGTTGTAGCTTCACAACAAAAACTAAGTCCAAATAATGCATTAGCTGAGTTTTTCAAACCAGAAAATAAAGAAAATGCCTTACAACTAATGTTTCAATTATTATTCAAATACATACAAGATTGTTGTGATGAATATTGTGGTACATGTTATGATGTTTATGTTGTACCAAGAGTTACGATAGACGAAGCATTAGATTTACAAAATGGTAATCATTACGTTTTTAGTCATTTCAATCAAATGTTTGAACAGAGCCGTGCGGAGAAAGCTAGTGGTCCTAAGCATTTGGGTTGTTTATCAATATGTTTAGTCAAACATTATATGCCACTATTATTTCCAGTAATCTTAGAGCAGTATACACCAGTTAGCATGGGAGGAAGTACAACTAGTAGAGATGGAAATTTTAGTGAAGCTGAAAAGAATATTGTTCGTCATTTGTTACAATCGATCGTGCAGAAAGCAATAGATTTTTTAAATACGAATGAACAAAAGAAATTGTTTGAAATGCCATTTGTTTGTAAAGAAGATGATAGTTGTGATGAAAAATGGGATTTATCTAGTTTTACAACAGATGAACAGACTCTTGCTATTGAAAATATGAATAAATTCTGGACGGAACACAGAGTGCAACAACAGAAAACTGAATAAGTTACAATTTTAGACAAATTACATTTTTGTCTGACACTGCAAAAGACGAGCTACACTTTGTCAAATCTATAAATTGCGCTACATACGCTTCTTTTACACCATAAGAAGTGACGAGGGTTCTGAAAAACGAGCAATGTTAAAAACTTCAAGTGTGTCTAGGATTGTAGAAATTCGATCAGTGTAAATTGCTGTTGTGAACATGACTATGTATAATCTTTATTATTAAAAACTACCTAGAACAAAGGAAAGGAGAAAGGAAACCATATTTCTCGTTTAACATATATCCTAATCTATTAATGAATGCTTATTATGCCACCCGAAACAAATATTCTTTCAAAACTTTAATATATTCTATTCGGTGTCTTCGTTTGTATTGAATCACCTTCACTTTCTGACAGCTCAGATGAATGTAAGATTATCCTCCTGTCAGTCTCTTTTAGTGCTCATGAATCTGTAGCGTTCGTGTCTCTTACATTTGGTTTTGTTAGAACGGTTAGAAGATCATCGGTTAGATGAGCACCATGAGCTTGGAAAATAATGATGAGAAAAGATGACATCAACTTAGGATAAGCTGCTTGTATGT